GGTGCTTCTGCTTTTACCATAGCTTTGGGTCAGTGATATGGAGCCTTCCTAGCCCGTAGCTAAATGCTTAACAAGCGTTTTGCACAGCCTGTCATTTTTCTGCTTCTCAGCGTGACATTTTAACTCTTTAGTTCCCTGTGGAAGATTGAAAGCTCTTGCAAATAATGCTCTCAAAAAAGTGAAAACCCACAAGCTGAGTGTTGGTGCCTTGTGCAGCTGAAAGGATTTCCCCTAACAATGGGCTCAGGTGTCAGCTGAGACTGAATGTAATGAGTTGTGGGGCTGGCCTGTGCCCAGCACCCATGGCTGTGCCTCTGTCTCCCTCCTGGAAAGGAAAAGGGACCCCCCAGAGGTGGGTTGGCTGTGCCCACATCCGACTCCTGTATCTACTTGGAGCACAAATATCTTTCTTTGACAATTTGGTACTTTCTAACGTGTGTTTACACTTGGACTCACTGATTCAAAGCGGGGGAACGTCCCTGTTTAACGAGGAAAAGGGGCTTAAAGTAGCCAGGGACTTTGCATGCAGCCCTGCTCTTTTTATTTATTCAGTTTTATGTTTTACAAAACTTGTTCAGTTCTTTTGCACCAGAAATAATYTTCATTTTGTTTGACCATTTCCATTCTCCTTGAATTCAGTGCTCAGTTATTTGCTGTACTGCTGTTACCGCTTACCTCTCTCTCAAAACAACTTCCTTTGAGAGCAAATGATAAGTTTGGGGGTTCATTTACTGTGCAAGGAGGTGGGGTGATTTTGTCTGGAAACATTAATTGTTTGAATTTCTTTTTCCAGAATGCAGTAGCACCAGAAGAATGGAAGAAATGGAGAAAACAAAACAAATGTCTTCAGGACAGAGGTGAAAAAAATAATGGAAAGACCAAAAGAAGGAAGGCAGAAGCAGATTTTTTTATACATATATTGTGAAGAGGGTTCCAGTTATAATTTTTTTTWAAATCTTGTTTTTCACAGTTGTGTTAATGCTGCTTGAATGTTTTTCATGTGAATCCGACAAATTCTTTCTCCCTCGAATCCCCCCGCTCCCTCTTTCTTCTCCCAGAACATTTTATTTCCTAAAGGAAGCTCAAAGGAAAAAAAAAAACCAACTCTGCCTTTTCCTAGATACCCTCCCTCGTCCCAAACACGTTGTGAATAAAGAGGAAAGAATGGTTTTGAGTTTGGTTTCTGGATGTCTCCAAGGCTCTGATTTGAAGCTGGGTTCATATGAGAGTAAAAAGAGCTTTTTTTTTTTAATGGATAACTTCACTGTATCAGCCCAAGCTGGCTTGGTGGGCCCTTCTCATGGGCTCAGCTTCTTCCCTACTCTGGGAATGGCTTTATTTTAAAAAGTAACTTTGACTTCCCCTCCTTTCTTTAACAGGCCATTGTCCGYGTGCACCTTCAAGACCATGAAATAGTCTAGACTTTAGCCTTATTGAAAGGACACAATAATAACAAACCTAAGGGCAAACCCCAAAATATCCTCCTAATTAGTAGTAGTGAATCTGGAGCCTATTTTGCACACTGACATGGGATTATCTTTCTCCATCTTATAGGGTGTCTAACTGAATGTCTTTGGCCAGCATCTTGACGGCTCGTGGCACCCACGCTTCTTGTTTACCCCCCTCTTTGACTCCTATCAGCAGTAAATGAATGACCTAGGGAGGAGGGGAAGGTGGATCACTTGGGGAATAGCACAGATTTCCAGGGAATTCTGTGCTTATTTCCATGCTCAAAACTTAAGTTACTTCTAGTTCCCACTTTGCCCCCGAATGTGTTCCCTCTGTTCCTGGTCTTTATAATAGTTTCTACTACTAAGCTCACTGTGAACGTTGGACAAGACAGGAGTTTATTGAACTAGTCCCGTGATCTCTTCTGCAGCCCTTCTGAAAAACTGAAGGGCTCTGGCACCTAAGCATTTTAAGCAAGAAATCATTAAGCTGCTGCGTGTTCTGTTTCATCCTGCAGTTCCTGGTCACCCCGCTGAATTCCCTTCGAGCACAGCGTTAGTGCTCGCTTGTCCCCTCTGTTTTATAATTTTGGGGAGAGTTTTTAACACCTCGGATTGTGGGAGATGCTCCAGTAYGTCCCCTATAGAAGAACTCTGGTGTGTTCTGTAGGGAGGATTTGGATGCATACGAGAAAAATCCTGGAGTTCTATGATTTATCCTCTCTAAGCTCTGCTCCTGACTATTAATTTTCTACCTTTCCTGCCATGTGTTCACCAAGGATGTCTTTAATCCTTCGGCTTCTTATTCCTCAGACCCTTTCTGTTCTGCTTTATTTGTTTCTACATTCAATCTGCCAGAGCTTGAGCATTTGTTTCCTCACTTGGACACAAACTGCTTGTTCAAAGGGTTCCCCTTTATTGCAAATAGCTGTACTCAGCCATCTGTTTATCCATCCATGTGTAGGCATTGTGAAAGTTTTTTTTAATAGAGCTTTTGATTTTATTGCAAGTCTCCAAAACAGATTTTATGCCACTTGCAAAAGGTTTGTTCTTTTGTCACTGCTGCTACTTCTTAAGAGCCTGCTTCATTTTAGGTAATGCTCCTTTTGGAAGGAGCCCCTGATGAATTTTTGAAGTTCACTATGATCTTCGCTACAGAASAGCTTTTCAGAAACATTTGGAACCAGCCTCCTCAAGACCAGCTCAAGTTGTTCTCCCTTTCTTGGGGGTTCTCTGTCCAGCTGTACTGGGTGGCAGGAGGATGTCTTGTTGCATCCCACTGGGATGTTTTTCTGCCTGCATACAGGTAACACACTTCCCATCAGCACATTCCCTGCTGTTGTGACTTCTCTGACCTGTCTCAGCCTCCTCTCACTGCTTCCCACCCTGCTGAGGCASTTAATATTAGTCTTATCCTAATGCTCAAAGCATAAAACCTGAAAAGGGTCCTGTTATCCGTAGGGATTTGGTACTGGTGTCATTTCACTCCCACACATGCTGCAGCCTGTCACCCTAGAGCATGATCACCCAGAGAAGAATGGGATGGTGTCTACTGCAGACTCACAGCACTGATTGCATGCAGGGGAGGAAGGCTTTTCAGGGTCTTCAACAGTGTATTTCCAGACTGGAGTTGATCTGTTGGCACTAGACCCCACTTGGGAGCTGCAGCCCTCTTTAGCACAGCTTTTACCYRCTCTGTGCTCTTGCCTGCTGCCTTTAAGCAACACTTTTCCATTGCACAGGATCAAGAAAGTAATATCTCAATAGACAAAGAGCCATCCTGACCKGCTGTTGCACAGGTTTATTTAGAACAACTTTTATTTTCTGCTGCTGGTGGGAAAGCAGGGCCCATCCTGCTGYTATTTACATCTGAAGATACAATTATTACATGAACAAAAGGAGAATTGGGGTGACAGGGAAGGAAGTGGCTTTCTTCAGAGCAAAGACGTAGCTTCAGTTTAAACAACTCAGGGCTAGACTCTGTAAGTCTTTCTAGAACTCAGATTTGATGCCAGGGCTCTTATTAAGGAGCTAATTAACCACTCATAGTGGTGTTTGTAACAGATAAATGTGGATTCACCCTGATCCAAACCCTGTTGTGCCTTCAGCCTCTACTTGGAGGAGGCTCTAATCAATTTACTAAGTTGCCTAAAGTGGGTCTTGGTGGCCACATACTTAATGGGGCCCTCAACCAGAACGGTGACTTTGCAGGTTTCTTGTTCTACTTCATGATTTGAAAGGCTTAATTGGTATCTCTGCAGCATTAGGAGTGCACTGGTTGTCTAGCCCCACACAAAGCAGCCTTAGGTTAAACTCTGAGGTATTTTTGCCTCATTCAATACAGAGACCGGTATTTAGAAAGGGAATTAAATAGTAAAGACTGAAGTGAATTAAGCCGGGCTCATAATTGCATTCCTTATCCAGCAGACTGAGGAGTATCTGCATCAGTTCCCAGCTGGTCACCTCCAGGAATGTGTCTTGGTTGCTGTGAATGACTTACTGTGCAGTCCTGTCTGTGAGCTCTGAATTGCCCTGGACAGAAGCAGGAGGACAACAGAGAATTGCAAGGGTTATTTTTGAGGACACAGAGGTGTTTTTCCAATCTTTACAGGTTTCTCCTAGTTGACCTTATTTGTGGGAAGAACCAGTACACGCAAACAACCAACTCAAGCTTAGCAGAAAGGCTAAGAGATGCTGAAATGCCACGTTTTCCCACCTGAATGCACAGCCATGACTTAAGTTCTGGTACAAATGTAGGTGTCTTTCTCCTTTTAAATGCACACACTTTTCACACCCTTTCCACTTGTGCTGGCTAGGGCTGGACAGGATTAATTTCTRTGAAACGGGTGTGAGGTGAAGCTGGTTCCTCTAGGAAAGCTGGTGTTTATATGAATAAAAGCACTGCCAGGAATGGGCTGGGGGGCTGGCTGCCTCCCAGGGTCAGCAAGAATCAGACCATGTTTCAAGCTCMAGTTGCCTGTTTTCAGGAGTGAGGAAAACTAAAAACCTAATTTTAGGAATGGAGGAAACTAAAGACTCCCTCACACCACCTGTTCATTGCAGGGAGAGGGGAAACCTGTCSTGTCCCTGGGATCTAAGGCAGCAACTACTCCCTGGGAGGGACTTTTGTCTGTCTTTACTCTAGCTTAGACACTCAAGCAGCCTATCTTGGATAGGTTTAAAAGGCTGCTGGAAGCAGCTAGGGATTGCCTGGTTCCCAAGTGTCCAGCAGAGCCACTGGGTTCTGCTGGATCTGCTGATAGACCTGCCATGACATCAGTGTGTGCGAAGGCTCAGGCCAGACTACCTGGACCTGGAAGCTAGTCCTGGGGAAACCATTGCCAAGGTTTTGCATCCCTCCTGGTCTCTCCCTTGAGAATAAGGCAGAGCTTTTACCCTTGGCTCAGTGACAGCCAAGGGACTTGGCTGTGCTGGGTACAGCCCTCAGCCTGCTTGGTTGGGGCACCCCAGCAGCAGTGTGTGGCACAGGGAATTGAATAGACAGGGAATGATACTCACCAGAGCACAGGGAGATGAAAGGGGGGGAAATATTTACATGAGCTTAGCCAGGGTGCTGGGAAAGCCGCCTAAGTGACTGCTGTCCATGTCCTGAGGCCTGGGAAAGAGGAGAGAGTTGGACAGTCACGGCATCATTTGGGCTTGAGAGGGAAATTCTCTTTCCACTGCTGGTCTATTAGGCTCTGTGCAATGAGGAGACAAAACAGAGACCTGCTGCTTTGCGTGATGTTGGCTGGCTCGGGGCAGGCTGCTCCTTGTCCACCCCTGTGCCCACGGACGGGCTGTGCGGGCGGACAGGAGCTTTGCTTCTTCCCCAAGCGCACGTGAAGGATAACGCTTAACCCAGCAGCTTGACTTTGGGGAACCAAGCAGCAACAAGAGCCTTATTATTCCTGCAGTGAGCAGATGACGAGATGGTTGCCACCTACCTTTGCTTCTGCAGAATCGCCCCCAGGAAGTCCCTTAGCACCATGCGCTGGTGGTAGCGGCTGTCCATGAGGATACTGTCGGACTGGCGCCTCGTCAGGAGCGCGTGCGCCCCGTCCCTCGGGCTGCCCTCGCCGCTGCTGGCGCAGAGATGGGAGCTGCTGTTAGCGCTGCTTTCTGAAGAGCCCCGGGCTCTCTGCAGGCTCAAACAGGGGCTCGGGCAGAGCAGCGGGGCAGGGGAACCAGCTGGGCCTCAGCCTGCAGCCATTCCGTGTCATTTCAGTGAGAAATTGGTCGTTTCAGTGAGAAATTGGTCGGCTGAGTTTACCCCTGCATTAGGGGAGAGGTGGGAGCTGGTTTGATAGGAGAGAGACTGTTCCGTGCTCAGCCTGGGGCCAGGAATAAGTGTTTCTACCACAGAGTGGGCATTGCAGCTGTTGTCCCCAAAGGTTATTGCCTTTTGCTAGCACGGTGGACCTCTCAGCTGACCTGACATGGATAGTGGGAGGAAAGGATTAATTATGCTGCTTAATAACAGCCGTGATTAGGGGAATCCTAGAAATGGGGGTGTAGGATGCCCCTAGGTGTGGGGAACAGCAGGAGAGACGGGTCCTATTGCAGCGGAGGGTAGTTCCTAGTTTTCCTACTTGCACAAAAGAAACTGCCCATTGTCATAAGCCCAGCGTTCGCGCCAAGCCAGCAGGCTGGTGTGCTTACCCAAGGCGCTTGCCGATGATGGTCTGTAAGAACTTCCGTGCGGAAATCTGCCCCAGGAATTTGCGGTAGTTGTCGGTGAATATGGCATCAGCGTGACGCTGCATCCTAGAGGTGAAAGACAAGCGCAGGGTGGGCTCATGGAGCTGGGAATGAGCCACTGGGCTGAGAAACGGGTGTTTCAGAGGCCAAAATACCCCCGAGGTCACACTGAGACCCCGGGGCAGGGAGAGTAAATTAAGTGCTTGGGATTGGACTCCTCCAGTGCCAGGGGGTTAAGGGGCTTGGGGCAGCTCAGTCCCAATAGGGCCGCAGTAGCAAAACCAARTACTACCTGCTGTGCTGCAGTATCTGCACTAAAAAAACGTCAAGGGGCTGAAAAGCAGAGGTGAGGTCAGAGATCCGGTGGGAAGGAGGAGACCCGCGGGGCTCTGGCACGGGAGTAAAAGGGGCCTCTGGCAGCTCCAAGCTGTGCTGGCACCAGGCTCCAGAACCGCCTCGTGCAGACGAAGCACAAGCTGCTGCAGGGTCCCCGCGGGTGCAAGGGGCTTTGGGCAGAAATGACCTTCCCTGCTGCAGCAGGGCTCCGAGCCACGGTACAAACCTCTGCTCAGCGGGGTCTCTCAGCAAACCCTCCTCGTCCTGGCCCTCCACTGAGGGGCTGTGGCTCTGCAAGGGGCTCTTGTCCTGCAGCTGGAAGCTCGTTGCCTTGCCAGGAACAGACCCAGTTTTGTACCTGTAAGAAACCCCGAGGCTGGTCACTAAGCAGACGTCATGCAGGCTCAGATGTCACGCAGTGATTGGTCATCTTGACCTGTGCTCCCTGTTCCGCTTTTTCTCTACTCTTGCCCTCTCGAGCTCATCAATAACCCAAGTTTTGACTGTTCTTCTCAGCCAGAAACTGCCTCGATGCTGTTTTAGCAGTGCAGTGATGAATGCATTTCCCTTTTGCTGAGTGTTCCCAAGCAAAACTCCTCTGGTTCAGGTATTATGCCTGGGCCATGGCTTCATCACAGAAGCAAAGCTTATCCTCTGGGATGCTGCTAATCCACAGAACTCAGGGCGCGATTCTGTGCAGGCACCCAGTTGTGACAGTAGAAAATAATACTAATTTGCAACTGTCTGCAAGGAAATACTTGAAATATTATGAGCTCTCATGTTCATGCACTGAAATATCTGCAGTTGTGACCAGTGCAGGTGCCCCGGGGGCAGTTTCTCAGTGAGTGATGGAGCTGCTGGTGTTGGCTGCTCTGGAGATGCCAGGTTTCCTTTTGTGAGACGCAGCATTCAAGCCCAAAGCCAAGTGTTTGGGCTGAAATATTCCATGCCAGCTGTGTGCCCCCTTTGGCAAGCAGCCTTAGGCAGCAGTGTTCCCAAAAAGGAAGCCAGGGAAAGGCAGGAAGTTTAGTAGAGCCTGTGCAATTCATCTGCCTTGCAATTTGGCAGGTGTTTCTTTTGCAGCAGGGCTGAGGGCTGTGGCTGRGCGGCTGTGTGTGGAAGCAGCCCTGGAAGGGGTGAAGAGCTCAGGAGAGCCTTGGAAAGCAGAGCTTGGCTGCTTCTCGCTAACCCAGGTGCCTCCCCAAATTTCCTAAATTTCCTAATCCTAGAGCATATGGAATCCTAAAGATTGGAAGGGACCCTTAGAGGTCAAGTCCAACCCCCTGCACGCACAGGGTCACCTAGAGCACGTGGCACAGGGCTGTCTCCAAGCAGGTTTGGAAGATCTCCAGAGAAGGAGAGTCCACAGCCTCTCTGGGCAGCCTGTTCCAGGGCTCCATCCCCATCACTGTCAAGACATTTTTCCTTAAGTTCCTGTGGAATTTTCGGTGCTTCAATTTGTGGCCGTTTCCTCTAGTCCCATCAGTGGCTACCACTGAAAAAAGTCCACCCCATCCTCCTCCTTCCCTCCCTTGAGGTATCTACAGACCCTGATCMGGTCCCCTCTCAGCCTTCTCTTCTCCAGGCTGACCAGGCCCAGCTCTCCCAGCCATGTGCCCTGGCCTGACCTCACTTCACTTAGACCTAAGAGAAGATCCTGGGATCATCTGCTGGGCGCCAGCACTGAGGTGACCGGCACCAAATGACTGGGAATTGCCCCTGTTGTTACTCTTGTTATTAAACACCTGGACTTGGGAGATGAGGCAGATTTAGGGTGTGGGCAAAGCTTTCATGGGCCTACCTGAGAGCTGGGTAGAGCGGAGAGGAGATGGAGCACACGACCAAATGCAGCAACAGGAGCAGGGTGACCTTATCCAGCATCTTCCACCCTCCGGAGTCCCCTGAAGAGCGAAGCAAAGGGAGTCAGTGGTGACTATAGAGGGGAGGGTAAATGTCGCCTTCGTTCTTCCTTCTCATCAGCACGAATAGGCTGGAAACCAGCATTTCATGTGGAAAACAGCATTTCACATGGGAATCCAGAGAAAGTCAAGATTGGCTTTGGGAGAGGGCAAAATTCCTGCTGTTTTGGGACCTTTTTGTTGAATCCAGCAAACGCTTGTGCCTTTTGTGCCACCATGGCCAGGGTATCTCCAGACACATCTTGTTCTAGACAGAGCATAGGATCTAAGGAGYCTGTGAGAGAGGAGCAGGGACTGCTCCAGTTTCTGCAGCAGGTTATTCAGGAGCAGGAGGGCTGCCCAGAGACCCGAGAAGGGAAGGAAATGAAATCCTAGCCCGGAGTTGTCTGATTCCCCCATTTCTTCCTAGCATCTAGCCCTGATCACCACCACCTTTCTGTGTTTGTTTTCTCTTTTTCAGCACTAGGTTTTCCTCCAGATTCTGTTCCTATCCCATTGAGATTTTTTTCCCTGTTGCTTCCAGTCTCCTTTTCACTCCTTTTTTTTCCTTTTCTCTTTTTCAGTTTTGTCCTTCTTCCCCGGTTCTGCTTTGTCTTCTCTCCCTTCTCTACAGTCTCTTCCTCCTCCTTTGGGATACTTGTCTCCCTTTTGCCCTTGGGAAGGTGCCTGAAATGAAAGTCCTACCCCCTTCCCAGAAGGGTCTGCTATTTCAGAAGAGATGCCCAAGAATTTGTCACCCCGCATACAGGCAGCCCGAGAAACAACAAAATTGTTTCATCTTTTACATTCCCCTGAGGTCAGATTCACCTTCTTATTTTCCATTCTGGCAGCATGCGGAGAAATAACTGATAAATAAATTCCCCTTAAGATAAAAGGCTTTTAATGCCAATCCAACAGCCAGAGCACAATAGCTCCACTCCATCCTGTGCACTGTTAACACGGCAGTATTTGTGAAAATGATATTGGGAGATTAGATAAGGTTTTAGAAACAGTAAGGAGTTGAGTTAGCTGATCGGTCTTAAAAATACCACTGCTTGCAATGAAGCCTTTATTGTACAGTCAGCTTTATAAAGTTCTGACTTTGATATTGTGCAATATCACCTTAGGAGAGCGGAATCCTTCCAGGCAGCTTATTCTGCCTGCTCTTGTAGCTGGCTTTGTGTTATCCACAACCCTGGGTTTCTCCTCATACTTTGGTTTGGCTCAAACACAATTTTATTAGTCAGTGAAACAGCTCTCATTTTCCAGGGTAAAAGCAAGTCATATTAGTGGCACAAAAGAGGTAATATGTGCTTCCTCTAGTGAGTGTAACATGTTTTTACAAGTCTCAGTTATAGTATCTTTCTGTCRCTTAATTCCGTAGTTCAGCTATTGCTTCATTCTATAACTTAGTGCAAAAAAATCCATGGTTTGTGCAAGGGTCATTGTATCTGGCACAATTAATCATTACCGATGCCAGCTCTGATTGCATTTCAGTGCGATTTATTTGTTCCCGCTTTCCAAATGGATGTTCCCTCGTTAATCCCACATGCAGAGGCTCGCACTTACCGTGCCCTGAGGAAAGAAGCTCTTCCCAAATCAGCTGCTGCTCCGGGGGTTTTCTTTCCCTGCYGCAGATACAACTTCCTTACTGCTGCTCCGTGAACTCTGCCGTTCAGGGACAGGCTCCTGGGAAGCCGAGGATGCTGCCAGGTCTCCCCGCAAATGTCCCCTAGCTGCCACCTCGCTGCAGCTCCCCTTTTTATACCTGTGCTCCCTCCGCAGCTTCTGAACGTCAGCGGATCAATTATCCGCCTGGATTTCCAGGGGAGCATCCCTTTGTGCGTGTGTGCAAGGACGCGGGCGGGGAGCGCTCCCGCCTGCGGACATTTGGATGTTTTCTCTCTATCTCCCAAAGAGTGAAGCAAGTAATAACAATAACCTGGCACGGTGATAAATTTGCTTTCCAAAGTAAACTTCTCTTTCCCTTTAGGATTGAATTTTTCCTTCTGCCCCACTGTGACAGTCACCCATTAATAGGTCCCCACGCTGCCTGCTCAGGAAGGTTTCTCTCTTTGCCGTTTTCTTTCTCTCTTTGCCGTTTTCTTTGTTTTTTCAGCCTTTTCCTGCTCTTCTGTGGCACACAGCTGTAAGCACCATTGGGACAACTCCTGCTTCAGTCCCTGCAGCTTCACATCAAGCACAGGGAGCAGCTGGAGAGCTTTGCTCCGTGCACGTGGATGGGAAAACAGCGATGGTCTTTACCGGATCTGCATCCSCGGCATCTCTTTGCATTCCTGGGACAAGGCTCAGGGAACTCCTGTTAAAAAAAAAATACATAATTTTAATGTTGGGAAGACAAGGACAAGTCATAGGAGTTAAAATGAGGCACCAGTATAAATTCTACCTGCTGTTTGTTGTGTGTTTGTCTGTGTTTGGTTGGGTTTTTTTTGAGCATTGACTTGGAACACCTGGAATTAATGGGAGGATGCAGCCCTTCCCATTGGGGCTTGTGTGACTCAGTGTTGGGAAGAAACTTCAGCAGGTGACGTGACTCTCATGTGGCTGCTGCAGAAACCCTCTGCCTTGGTGGCACTTGTCCCAGCTGTCACTGGCTCTCGGGGAAGGTAAGTTCACCTGATGGGCACATCCAGTGCTGGGCCCTTGGCCATGGACTCTGCTTCTTGTTGCAGTGAGAGATTGTGGGATCTCAGTAAGAAGTCACCCAACAGCCAGGAAGCTCTTCCTGAGGAGAGAATCCACCCTGCAAATCAGTTAAATGAAGGTATCTCTATTTGGGAACACAGAAGAAGGTGATTTCTTGGGTGGGACAGTTTTTYAAAAATGACTGCACTGATGCACGTTCCTGTGCACTGTTCTGGAACTGGAAATGGGTTTTGCTAGTGCTCTTGAAAAGATCTGTCAGGCTCTCCTACATATAAGGCCACTTGCACCAATGTTTCAGCATGACTTCTGTTTCTTGCACCGCCCTGGTGCTACAGTGCCTGAACAGGTGAATCAGAGCCCATTTTTCAGAGCCAACACGAAGCCTTTCAAGGCATCATCCTTAGCATGTTTTTGAGGCAATTCCCCACTCGCTTGGCCCCTTGCCTTAGAGCTGCTGTAATATCCTGGTTGCCATTTCACAGATCAAGGCAAACCAACCTCTGCTTGACTTGTTTATGGCTGCCTGCTGCCCTGCTTGGATTAGGAGGGTTGTGATCTGCATCCCCATCGTGATCTCCGTGCTTTTAAAGAAGGCTATAAAAAGCTCCGGGCTCCTATGGGGTTTCCTCGCCCTGCTCATGTTGGTTCCTGTCACGCACAGCTGGACCCAGCAGGATTTACGCCCGCCACAAATCACTGCAGATTAATGGAGTGGGGCAGCAGAGTTTTATAAAAACCCTCCAGGCTCTTCTGGGCCACTTTAGTAGGTCTTAAACTGTATAAACAGAGCAGCTTTTCTGTCCCCAGGATTTCCTGTCCTAGCTCTATTCGAAGCTCCATATTCCCAGGACCCGTTGAGGGTCAGTTCTGGAGTAACTCCACCAGAATCCTGGAGCTCTCCCTCTGGCCAGGGAGGCTATTTCAGCTTTGGGCCCTGCAAAATTGAAGAGCTCATGTCTCTGGACCAAAGCTGGCAGAGGTAGAACCCAATAACGTTCTGAGGTTGTGTTGCACCCACTGGGACTGCAGTAGATCTCAGGCCAAGCTGCCCGCTGTGGTCTTTGTCCTCATGATCATTTTCTTCTCTGCACCTTTAGACTTGAAACCCTCTGCACAAAGCTCTCCCTATATTTTATTCTCTGCACAAATTGATTTGATGCCCTGTCCACCTACCCGCTACAGAGAGCGATTTTGTTCCAGGGCCTTTCACAGGTAAAGGGAAGTGCCAAGTGTACCGGATGTTTGCAAACATTCCTCATGGCATCTTCATATTAGGAGTAATATCATAATGATTTGGTGCAGCAAAACTGGCAGCCAGTTACAAATTTGCTTTGCAAAATGAACATCTTTTTCTCTTTGGAATATCACTTGATTTGTACTTACAACCTTCTCAGTTTCTCCCCACCTCTCTCCTCCTTCCTGCTGCAGCTGATTCTGTTGGCTTTCTACCAAGTCCAAAACACGTGGTATTTAACACTCAAACCATCTCCTGCAGATCACCCCTCCAGCCTAGCAATGCTCGGTAGGTAACTGTCTGCTTTCCCTCTAAAACCAATCCTAAATCCATGCAAGTCCAGTGGAAACTACAGCCAGGTCCTTTCCGCAGCTGGAACTGCTGGATTTTGGATTCACGTTCATGCACATCTCATCATCCCAGCATGAAGCAGAGGCTACCAAGCTAAATTTTGCTGCCAGGGCTTCACTGAGTGAGGATGCAGTCCTAGAAACCTGTAGAAATTTCCCAGATATTGATTTGCTCTCCGTTTACTTCCTCCAGCCCCCATGCCGCGCTTAAAAAATCGCGTCTTGTCTGTTGCACATCCACAGCATCTAGCTCTGGATAAGCTGAGCTGTGTGTGAAATGATCCTGCTGCCTTTGTGAGCTTGAAACTGATGACAGCAAGAAGCAACCCATCAAATGGCAAAAAAACACCCTTATTCTCAGTTGTCAGAGGCTCTTCTGCCCTCTACTAACTGTCACAGGCGGTGGCTGTTGGTTCCTGGTGTCTTTAATCCCTGCTGCTCTTGATGGAGCTGCATGCAACTGTTCCCTGGAGTTTTCACATCCCTGGCCAATGTGCTGGTGACTGCCCTGTTGCAAATGTTCCAGTGCTAAATTTTAAAAAATGGCTAAAAAGACTCAGATTTACATTTTCTGCTTAAGTTTGTCATCACAGAGGTAGGATGGGACATACCCTTCTGGTTCAAGTCTCATCCCATGTGGCAGAGCTAAGGCGTGTCATGGGTTAACCATCAATCATTTCCATTATATCTTTAATTCCAAAGTTCCTTGAATGCAAAAATGCAATCATTTCAGTGGAAAGTAAACAA